TTATTCATCTCTACTGTAATACTTAGAAAAGCAAAGGACAAGGGACACCTAGCCATGGAGATTAAGCAAACCTTCTCCCTTTGCCCAAATCAAGGAATTTTCTTTTTTTCACCATGCTAAATCCCTCTGCTTAGTCTAAGCTAAAATGAATATTGAGTAGCTCCAGTTTCCTGTCTATGATCAATCCTAATGCTTTTTGTGAAGGGAAATGGTTGTAAATTATTTCCAGTTAATTAAGTGAGTGTTTCCCTGGAGTCCTTTGTACAGGCTTCTGTCCAAGTCTGCCTAGAATGATGCATGGAGCATTAGAGCTAGAAAACACCCTCATTTTTGTGTAGGGGATGAACCAGGGATGTAAGTGACCTGCCCAATTTCTGCAAAGTGCTCTCAAGGCCAAGCAAATGCTGGCCCTGAGTGGGGAGGGAGAGAGGGGGAGGGAAGGAGATGTGAGGATAGATCCCAGTGGGTGCATCAAGCTGACTGTAATTTCTAAGCACTGAGCCATTGGCGGCCATATTCCACTGCTATTCCCCATAATGATCGTGGAGTGACAACAGTGTCACATAGTGTTTCACTCTGTAACAAATCACATGTATTTATAGATATAGATATGTCCTATTTTACAGGTGGTGGAATGACCTTCCTGTTTTGATCATGAGACCAAAATTGTTGAGATCCTTGGTTCAAGGACTTCTGCTAGCTAGACCCTTTGGCGAGAGCCCCAGAGAACTGCTTTGGAAAATCTTGATCACCTAGACCATGACTCTGACTCTGGGAGACATTTAGGGGAGGTGTGAGGGAATGGATTGATGGGTGAGGTGGAGACAGAGGCTTTCCCAGACAGTGTACACACTAGTAAGGGTGTGGCCAGGCAGAGGAGAGAGGTGTCAGGCCTGGCTAGAAGAGCAGGTTCACAGAATGGAATTTGGAATGGGAGGTTAGGGTGGATTTGAGGGGAGGCACCCCAAAGGGCGAAGTCCTCAAGGCTTTGATGGGCAAAGTAGATGAGAGGGGACACTTCTGAGAGGGCTGCATGATGGACAAAGGGCTAGGGAGCCTGAAATCCTCAGATATCAGTCTCCTGAGTAACTAGGATTACAAGCGTGAGCCACGAATGCCCAGCAACAGATATTTCCTAGAAGATGACATACACATTAAAAAATGTTCAGTATCACTCACTGATCATCAGGGAAATATAAATCCAAACCATACTGAGACATTGTCTCACTTCAGTCAGAACAGCTCTTTCAAAAATACAGCTGTCTTAACAAATACTAACTCAGGAGGCCGAGATCTGAGGATTGAGGTTCAAACCCAGTCCAGGCAGGAAAGGTTGTGAGACTCTTATCTCCAGTTAACCACCTAGAAACCAGAAGTGGATCTGTGCTCAGAGTGGTCGAGGGCTAATCTTGAGCAAAAGCCACTCAAGGACAGCGCCTAGATCCTCAGTTCAAGCTACAATCAACAATAACAACAAAATCCCAACAAGTGCTGGTGAAATTGCCAGCCCCATCATTGTGTCACCATCCTCCTGGGTGTGAAGTGCTGTCTTACCATGTGTCTTGTATTTCTTTCCTGGCTAATAAGGATGAGCATTTTACATGAGTATATTGGTCATTTATGTATCTTCTTTGGGAAAGTGTCTATTCAAATCCTTTGCCCATTAAAAAATGGAATTGTTTTTACATTATTGAGTTATAAGAGTTGTTTATATGTTGTAGGTACAAACCCTTTATCAGATCCATACCTTATTAATGTTTTCTCCCATTCTATGAGGTGTTTTTCACTTTAACATTACTGGGGGCAGCACAAGAGTTTAAAATTTTCTTTTTGTGCCAGTCTTGGGGCTTGAACTCAGGGCCTGGGAGCTGTCCCTTAGTTTTGTTTTGTTTTGTTCCCCTCAACACTAGCACTCTATCGCTTGAGCCACAGCTCTTATTCTGGCTTTTTTGGTGATTAATTGGAGATAAGAGTCTCATGGACTTTCCTTCTGTGGTCTGACTTTGAATCATGATCCTCAGATCTCAGCCTCCAGAGTAGCTAGGATTACAGGCATGAGCCACTGGTGCCTGGCAAGCATTTCAATTTTGTTGTAGTTTAATTTATTGTTTTTTTAATCACTTGTGCTTTTGATACTAAATGATACTAAAATGATAACCTTATCCAAGGTCAGGAAAATTTAACTTCAAGTTTTCTTCTAAGAGTTTTACAGTGTTATCTCTCACACATCAATCTTGAATTATTCTGAGTTAAAGCTTAAAGATGATGCTTGAGTCTGGCAGGCCCACCAGGTCAGAAAGGCGGGAACACACCTGTATAAGCATCTGTGATTCTGGGTGGTGGACTCTTCCGGCCATCTGCTAGAGCAGCTCGTGGCCTGTGAGTATAGGAAGGTCATGTTTGTGGCCCCTCTGGGCATTGTTGGAGGGAGTTGGTAGGGACAGGATGGCAGAGGCGGCCTGATTGTCTGTCCGCAGGCTGGTAGCAGCAGCTCCTACGCCAGCAACAGTTTATGTTAAGGTTGAGTATGTGTTCTCTGCCAGGCCTTTATATTGAAGATGAGGGAGTGGCTTTTAAAAATAACATGTTTTTGACTCGAAGCAAGTCAAGGCAGAGAGTAGAGACAATTAGAGACTGACATCCTGTTTAGTCATCTCTCCTGAGAGCTCTATTTTCAGAGCTGTTCTATAGAGGTTCGAAAGGGGTGTCAAGGCAATGAAGAGGATATTGTCAGTTGGCATTCCACTGTGATGCAAGGAGTTGATGTGAATATGGGGGTGATTGACAGTGTGGTGGCTTTGCTGGGAGTAGATTTTATGCAGAGGAAGGTAGGGATAGGTTGCCGGGATGGATGGGCAAAGCTTTTAGAGTCTATAAGAAACAGCCATCTTTATCTTTTTATTTTATTTTGTTTATTTATTTGTTTGTTTATTTATTTATTTATTTGTATTTATTTGCCAGTTATGGGCCTGAACTCTGGGCCTGGAGGCTGTCTCTCAGCTCTTCAGCTCAAGGCTAGCGCTCCACCACTTGAGCCACAGCGCCACTTCCAGCTTTTCCTGCTTATGAACCCAGGGCCTCAGGCAGGCAAGGCAAGCACTCTACCACTGAGCTACCCTTCTAGCCCTTTATTTTTTTTGGTCGGTCTTGGGGCTTGAACATAGGGCCTGGGCACTGCCCCTGAGCTTCTTTTGCTCAAGGCTAGCACTCTACCACTTGAGCCACAGTGCCACTTCTGGCTTTTGTTTTGTGGTACTGAGGAATTGAACCCAGGGCTTCATGAATGCTAGGCGAGCACTCTACCACTAAGCCACATTCCCAGCCCTTACATATCTTTTTTTTTTTTTTTACCTGGTCGTGGGGCCTGAACTCGGGGCCTGGGAGCTGTCCCTTAGCTCTTCAGCTCAAGGCTAGTGCTCTACCACTTGAGCCACAGCGCCACTTCTGGCTTTTTCTGCTTATGTGGTGCTGAGGAATCGAACCCAGGGCCTCATGAGCCACCTTCTCAGACTCCTTACGTATCTTTTTATGTCAGCTGATCCATAACAGTCAAGAAGAGAATGTGATGGAGTGGTGATGCATGCCTACAATCCCAGCATTTGGGGGGCTGAGACAGGAGGATCATGGGTTTAAATCCAGCCTGGGTTACATAATTCTAAGGGAACCTCAGTTATAGTGAGACCTTTTTTCAGAACAAACAAAACAAAATAACAGTAAAGAAGAAAGGTGAAGGCAAAACTTGTAAGCTTCTTTCCTTTCTGCTTCTTAAGACTGGTCAATCATGGGTGGGAACATAGAGACCCTACTTTTGTGTGTGTGTGCCAGTCATGGGGCTCAAATTCAAGGTCTGGGCCCTGTCCCTGAGCTTCTTTTCTCCAGGCTAGCATTCTACCACTTGAGCCACAGCTCCATTTCCAGGTTTTGTTGTTTGTTTCTTTTTTTGGTAGTTTATTGGAGATAAGAGTCTCATGGAGAGGCTGGGAAGGTGGCTCAGTGGTAGAGTGCTTGCCTTGCATGCCTGAGGCCCTGCGTTCGATTCCTCAGCACCACATAAGCAAAAAGAAAAAAAGCCAGAAGTGGCGCTGTGGCTCAA